ATCCCCGCGGTTGCTTCCTTGGGAACCGACAATAATCCAAAGATATTTGCACCCTGAACTATAGGACAGCCAAAAAAACAAACTGTGCTACTTGAATGTATACGGCACAACAAAGAGTCTAACTAGTCAGTAACAAGAACCAGTTGGGAAAACAGTGATACTAATTTAGAAGTTATAGTTTCAGCAGCTAAAAGTTTGCATAAATATTTGCCCTAAAATTGGGTTTAATAGTACAATAATTCAATGATCATTATTGTTTCTGCAAATAATAATCAAAATATGCCGATATACAGTCAGCACTTTTAACAAATGGAATTACTTAGCAATTTGTTTGAATTAATACACTATAAGCAATTTATATAACATACTTTTACACTGACCTTCAAACACGGAAAAAATTATTCAACTGAAAGTTCAAAAAATTTCCCAAGAATTTGGCATACCAACATTACGATAGAGTAAAAATTTTGCTACTGTTTAAAATTGGCAAATAATTTAGACGTTATTATTGTATTTAAAATCTCGTTTTTTCTTATCAGCACCTTTAACAAAAAAACTTATTCTGTGAAAAAATAGCTTAACAAAATGTGTAAATTTTATAGTGTCAAGAAGATATTGTTTACAGTATAAAATATACAGCAGATGGACATAAAAATGGGTCGTAAAAAGAATCCGTAAAAAAAGAATTTCTAATTATTATTATTATTATTATTATCATCGTCGTCGTCGTCGTCATCGTCATCGTCGTCGCCGCCATCATAAATAAAGAAGAAAGTGAAGAAAAATAGAGAAATAAGCGAAATCAAAAAGGCAATAACCAATAAATAATAAAAGAAAAGAATTGGAAAAAAAAAAAAAAACAAAAGCAGCTCTCTTTTCTTATCAGTGTTTTTTTTTGGTTGCACTAAACAAATAAATCGATGCACTTTAATTTTTATCATAGTCACCAATTAACTCCCTACCAAAAAAAAAAAAAGAATCAATTAGTCGTTGATGAAGTAAAATTCCTTTTAGTAAATACAGTGTAGAAATCAACAGCAGTACCCCTCCCCCCCCCAAAAAAAAAACGACAAGAACAGTGTCCGAAGCAAACAAATAGGATACAAGAACGGCTTCAACCAAACAGCTATTCTTTTGAGTAAGGGGTTTGTTTTTCTGTTTTTTCTTTTTTCTGTTTAGATTAACCTTTCCTATTAAGCAGGTGGTTGCCTCAGTTGGTTGAACACACATTCGTTGTCGTCAGTTTGTCTTAACATCTAATCGTTAATCCAATTTTTTTTTTGAATAAAATCAAAAACAGTTAGTTTCCTCACCGCTATTGTACCGTCTTCATCCGACACACACACACGAAAAAAGTTATGATTTATTGTTAAGAAAATAATGTTTTTACAGAAAAAATATTCTACTTTTTCTTCTTGTCATGTCTATATAACAAAAAAATATTTTAACCCATGTGAAACCATTGTTTACGTAATTTTATAGCAGAAGAACAAATTATACTTTATTTCCGTTATTATGCTGTTGTTACTGTTCAGTTATACTTGCGTTGTTTCATGTGGAACCGGAAGGAATGGAGATGAATGTTAAGAATGGGACATAGGAATGGCAGAAGGTATATAAAGCTAAAAAAAAACAAAAAAAAAAGTGAATTTAAAAGACCAGAGGCTTTGATAAGTGCAGCGGTAATGTTGGTACAAAGGTCATCATCATCTGACTGAACTTAGGAAGCATAATATCTTTCGTTCTGTAGAATAAATATCAATCAACAAACAATCATAGTATGCCTTTTTTTCTTCTTTTTTTTTTTTTGCTCAGTAAACGTATAATAATAGGTGTTTAAAATGTTGGAGGTCAGAAATATAGCGTGAGAATCGAAAAAAAATAAGTGGTTTCTTCACTTAAAAAAAAAAAAAAAGAAACAAAAGCTTTTTCAACTCTTTTGTCTTTGTGATTTGTTTTTTCAAGCATTATTTATTGTTGTAATCAGCTTAGAAATGGAAACTTAGCTAAGTTTTTAGTGAATCTTATTTAGTAGACTATTTCAGAATACTATTTAGTGGGTAATTTCTTTATGCCGCGAAACTGAGCAATTTACAGATAAAGAAGAGGGGAGAGGAAGAAAAGAGGAAGGAGAAGAAAGCAAAAGAAGGAAAGGAGGAGGAGGAGGAGAAAGGGGGAAACATAGGAATAAGAAGAGGAAGAACGAGGAGGAAGAGGAGAGAAAAGGGGACAAGAAGGAGGAGGATGTCAACAAAAATAAACCAACGGTTGCACGGAAAAATTATTGGACTGCAAGGGAAGGAAAAGCCAAAGTATTAAGCAAATTGTCAACAATAGCTCCTTCACTGTATTGCTGTTAGTGTTTGTTGATAGTTAGTCAGTTAGATTGGTGGACTGTCAGTTGACTAGGTGGTGAGACAATTAGATAGATAGACATGTAAATAGATTGATAGATAGATAAGTAGACAGGCAGATAGATGGATGGGTAATGTAGACGTTATTAATTACAATTATGTTTACTTTACTTTAATGCTAAAAATTAAACGTGTACTGAAAAAAGGGGAAAACAAGAAGCAGAGATCTGTTTTTTAGCTTTTTATAACTTAAATTCTTTTTTCTCCTTATTTTTTGAAAACATGGAAAATGATAACTGTTTGTGTGACTTATAAAACAGAAGTAGATAACCTAGTGAATCGCTACATTTTTGTAGAAACTGTTGGAAATGACCGCCAACGTAAAATGGAAGGGAAGGACGAAGAAGGAGAAGAAGAAGAAAATGTAGTAATGAGTGCAATATTTTGCTCTAATAGAGACAATTTTTAATGTTTCAGTCAAATGAGATCTTAGATGTTTTCTCAGTATTATCGTTGGTTCACAGTGGTTGTTGTTGGTTGTTGTTGTCGTTGTCGTCGTCGTTGACTGATTGTTGCCGAACAGTAGTCGGTCTGTAACTTTTTTTTTTTTTACCTCCTACCATCATCGTTCACTAAGATTTCTGAAGTTGTTGTTGTTGTTGTTGTTATTATTATTATTGTGGTTGTCTGTATATGGACAACAGACGATGTGATGATGTTTTTTTGTATGGTAGGGATTAAATGAGCAAAAAAAAAAGTATGAATGAGCGACAAATCTGTGGATTCTATTTGTTTACTGACTTACAATGTTATAAGGGGTAATCTAATTGAATGTTATGAATTGAGGAAAAGCTGAAAAACATTCATAGAT